GGTCTTCATAATACCAAACATATCTTAATGCTATCCAATTTTCTTCGCAGAGTTCTTCCGTGAGTTGATCCCAAGTTTGCTGTTTCTCGAAATCTTCAAAATTTGGATGAAAGAATTTGATTTGATGTTCATGTTGTATACCTTGCACTTCAATCACAAAGCCGTAATCATAGTATGAAATATCGAGTTCTAGTCCAGTTGGGTATTCTGGAGTTTTTAAGAAATCGGGTTTACGAATTGGCGAAGGTGAACCAAGATATTTTGTTATGATTTTGCGACATAAATCCTTATGTTTCTTTGAACAGAAAGGATACCAGGTGTGTTGATTTTTAATAGCATTAAGAGTAGCAGTAAATATATAGTTATTTTCACATCGCCATAGTAAAGGTAAGTGATTATTATAATAAATTGTAGATATGCAATCTCTATTTCGACTAATTGCAATTTTTTTAGCATCCTCGATACTATGACAAGCTACTTTTGCACATTTTGAGCACCAAGAGTTACTAATTTTGACATAATGCAAACTTGCAAGAAATTCATGTCATTTAGAGCAATGCCAGAATAAATATGAATAACTATTAATATATTCTGTTAAAAGACATTTTCTATTTCGATTAATTGCAATTTGTCTAGCATCTTCAATAGTATGGGAAACTCTGTTTGCGCAATATGGGCACCACTGATTTTGATTTTTTATATTATTAAGGTGTGCATACCATTCATGATAATTTGAACAACGCTATAACAAAACAGTTTTGCTATTTATATATTCAGTTGAAAGACATTCCCCATTTCAGACAAAAGCAATTTGTTTAACATCCTTAATAGTATAGCAAGCCACTTTTGCACAATGTGGATACCATGACTTGCTATATTTTATATGACTAAGAGATGCGCGCCATTCATGATTATTCGAGCAACACCATAATAATAGATCTTTATTAGTAGTATATTGAGTAGAAAGACACTGTCCACCCCGATTTCTAGCAATTGCGCAAGCATCTTCTAAGGTTAATTTTTTTTTCGACATTCTGATAATAATTAAGGATATTTAAATGATAATTCAACATTACCTTTTCAACCAAAAAAGCAGAAGATATGCAAGAAGCAAGATATAGATCTGATTGAAATACTATTCGACTCGGATTTATATGCATTTATAAAAAGTGAATTGCAAGAGAGAGGTTATTTATCACATAAAGAATAAACACATAAGTATTACTTAGATTAATCAGGATAGAAGAAGAAAAAATACCCATATTTGTATACAATATCGACGAGACATCTAACAAATCCTCAGAACTAATGAAAGGTAATAAGTATTCACCAGATGCCCTATTCAGATTACTGGTATGTGGAGGCTCCCATAGTGGAAAAACAAATATAGTTATTAATCTTATGCTAGGTAAAAAGCTCCAATGCATGTTTAACGGGAAAAAAGGTAATCGGTATATTAAGAATGATGATTTGGTATTGATAGGAAAGCATTCTGAACCAAAATAGAAATTAGTAAAAAATGCGTACCAGATCTTTGCAAATGCCCCTAAACCATATCGAGAAGATGTTACATTTAAAAGGATATCTCCAGATAAAATTCCAGATATAACTAAATTCTTTCCAGAGCGAAGTACAGTTGTTGTATTTGAGGATTTATGTGCTGAACCAAAGAAAGTACAAGAACGAATTATTTCCTACTTTATTAGTGGCCGGCATCAAAATATCTTACCCGTATATGTAAGCCAGAAATATACACAAACCCCAAAAATTATTCGTGAAAATATCTCACACCTAGCCTTATTCCGGGGCTCGGGATCTAGAGACGATATTTGCAGAATCATACGTCAATATACAGATGATTCAAAAAAAGTATCCAAGATCATCGATAAACATTTGCGAGATCGAGATTTCGTGGTTTTTGATTTTACTAAAGCAGTAGATGATCCTCTAAGTGTACGGCTTGGTTGGAATACCGCTTTAAAATTGGATTAGTAGAATAAGCTTCTGATAATCAAATAATTATTTTTTCAGTTATTTATTAATACAACAATATAAGTATATTCTACTCGCCACTTCTTATATAATTGAGAAGATGCACGTATCCAGCCTACCTAGTATTTAAATTGAGGTAGATGTTTTCAGTATCTTATTCGCTACTATTCTTCAATGAAATAGCGATCAGTATCCAGCCTGATTGAGGTTGAAGTAGATGTTGAAAAAAATAAATAAAGTCTATTTGTATCAAGGAGGTTTTTTGTGTCAAGTAAAATAACTGTATATAAAAACTAAAGTAAAAAATATTACCAGCCTCAGGGATAACGAAATAAAGTCTAAAGTACTAGTCCTCAAGGAATACTTTAGGTGGTTTTATTTTAAATAGATATATATATGAATAAGTTATATAATTAATAAATCGAATAAATAGATTAAATCAAATAAATAAATATATGAATTGCT